TGAGGTTAGGTCTCCGTCTTGGTTCTCTAGTGCTGCTGTAATGGAAATCCACCACCGATGGCGGGTGCAACAAGCCCGTTCATGCTCGCGCAGCTTAGGGGACTAGAAGCCCAGGAGAAGTCTCTCTCTGCTGCCTCGGGAGGAAGGTCCTTATCTTCTTGAACTTCTGCTCCTGGGCCATCTGCAGGTGGCGGGCCTCGCTCTCTGTGCAAGTCCTGGAGGTTCTCATCACAAGGACCCGAGGTCACAGGCAGCACTGTTGCAGATTCAAATAAATGGCAGCCACTATAATGTCTTGATATTTAGAATCGTCTTTTCTTCCGTTACAACGGGACTGCGAGACTCTAAAAGCGACTCTTTGATCCAGTCCCAAGTGGACACATCTTAGTGAGTTTCTAAAGCCAAAAAGTCATTTATCAATATTACGGGCTTTCCTATGGGGGAGCAGGTATGAAAAAAGCAGACAGCAAAATGAATGTTATTATTCCTTAGAGTTAGTGAGTGTTACAGGGTACAGCACTGATGATAACATCCTGGTTAATAAAATAAGAATAGTAACATCTTGGTTACAACATCAAAAGGAACAGTATTATTAATTACAATGTTCTGATCTCGAGAACATCAGAGTACATTCTATAATCAATCACTCGTGGGACTTTCCGAGACGGGAGGGGGCAGGAGGCAGGTCATTCAGCAGTCAGCAAGATGGCGTCACCTTGGCTAGGGCTAGCCTGTCTCAGCGCTCCACTCCTGACTCTTCTTTCCTGGCGGCAGTTCGGTCCCTCTCTCTACTCACTTCTCTCTGCTTTCATCTCTGATAAGAGAAAAGGTGATATAGGTCACACCCCAGGGAAACTCCTTTTACATCTGACCTGAGTAATGTCTAATCCCCTTACACCTGACTGGCTGATTTCATCAGCTCCCCACATTGGGGTGACTACTCATAAACAAACAAACAAACAAAACAAACGCACTGCCATTGAGTCGATGCCGACTCACAGTGACCCTGTGAGATAGGATAGCATTGCCTATCCCTGTGAATTTCCAAGAATGTACTTCTTTGTGGGAGTATAAAACCCGTCTTCCTTCTGCAGCGTGGCTGGTGGCTTTGAACACAAGCCCAGCACATAACCACTGACCCACCAGGGCTCCTCTGACTATTCATTACAGAACTGTTAAACTGTTGAACTATGGAGTGAAACTGTTCGCCCCACCGAGTCGATGCATATTTTGGAGGGACACGATTCAACCCACGACAGTTAGCCCAAAGTCACAGAGCTGTTCTTGTAACGGCTTTGGGTTTTGAAACGTTCTGGGCTCTTCCTGGTTTTCCAAGTCTGAGACTGTGCACAAAAACAGAACATGCACCCTAGAGGGTGCTGGGTCCAGGGGGACTGAAGAAGACTTTGAGGGTGAGACAATTCGGAGAAACCAGCATGGACCAGGAGTGAGACCAACTTCCAGGTCAAACATTCGAGTGGAGAAGAAGGAAATCGAGACATACATGAAAAGACTCTACCCACATCCCTCAAATCTATAGACCTGTCCCCATCGCTCCTGTCACCACCCTGGTCCAAGGACCATGATGTTCCTTGAACTCCCCATCCTGTGCTCTGCAGTCTATTCTCCCAGAGCAGCCGAGGGGTCTGCCTGTGTGGGTTCATGGGTCTGTAGGGCAGACACACCAGGAAAGAGAATAAGCTGGAGACAGAGGTGGGAGAAGCATAGGAGTTACAGGGACCGCAGCGAGGAAGCAGTCAGCTTGTATGGCTTTCTATATGGGCCGAGCTTGGTGGCAACAGTCCATTGCTTGAAGGGTGACTGAGGAAAATAAACCATGACGTTTGATTTCTGTAGCAAAGATGACCCCTGGTTTGCAAAAGCTCCAGAGAGTAGATCAGTATTTCCCAAAGTGGGCAACACTGCCCCTGGTGGATGCTGGCAGGATGGAGGTGGGGGAGAGGTCTGCGAAAGCAGATACCTACACTTTATACTGGATCATGGGCGCTAGCACCGACTTTTTCATTACCAGGGGGCACTGAGTTTTGTTGTTGTTGTTGTTGTTGTTGTGTGTGTGTGTGTTTTATCCTGTAAAAGGAGTGATAAGCCAAATAAGTTTGGGAAGCTGTGGTGCAGGTGATTTTCAGCCAGGCCACCCCTGCCTCCATCATTAGGGAAGGTCTGATGGGAAGATGCTCCCTTTGCGTGACAGACAAGTAGTTACCTGGAAAATAAAGAAGGGCAGGATCCACAAGGTAGAGGTATTCAAGGACTCACCTTTGTGGGACTGCTGGAGCACTGAAGATGTGGAGGATAACAGAGCTGGAGTCAACGGTTGCTTATCCAGGGCCATAGGCACCATGTTTTGCCCTAAAAGCATTGGGGACGTGGATGGGATTGGGTTTGCTTCAAACTGTAGTGTGCATGACAAACCGTGTGCCCCCACAATAGTTCTTTAGGGTTCGTTCCGTGACCTGGATTACATTCTTCACACAGCGCCACTGCGTTCTCTCTGCCTCGCCAAGCCATCCGACCACCGGTAACACATTCAGTGCAGAGACCAGCAGAGACTCCCTCATGAGTGGTTTTTTGAAGCCAGCACCGTCGTTATTTTTTAAATATAGTGTGTTTTCATTGAAAGCTTACACAGCCAATTACACAGGGTGCCACGATGATTCAGCAACGTTGGTTCTGCCTTTCACAATGAGCCAACATCCTCTTTGTTGCTCTGGTTGCTCTGTTCCCTGCTGTCTAGTCTCCCTGTCCCTTTATGTTCTCATCCTGGCTTTCGAGGAATTGTTAACCATTTGGTCTCATATGGTTGTTTTTTGTTTAACGGAGAACCTTAAAAAAAATCCAAAAAACGTTATTTTGTGTGTAAAGCTTTAATTTTTCATGAAAAGGGAACCTCAGAGGGTAGTTTCGGTTGTAAAACAGCTTTATTGATATGAAATTTCAAATGAAGCGTTTCATGCCAAGAATTCACTCATTTTAAGTGTGAAGTTCCATGGCTTCTCAAGTGGATGTGTAGGACGGGATCACTGGGCACAGTCGGTGTTAGTGCTGGCGTTCCTTCCCCTGAAGTCGATTCGGGCTCAGGGCGGCCCCTTGTGGCTCCGAGCAGAACTGCTCCGTGGGGTTTTCTTGGCTGTTGTCTTCAATCTTCGTGGATGCCAATCATCTTTTCTTCCACGGTACTGCTGGGGCCTCTCACTGCCAACCTTTAGAGTAACCTTTTTTGTCCTCTAGAGCCCCATCTTAGAGCCCCCCCCCCCACCAATGTGATCCCTCTTTCCACCCCTGACCCCTGGAAGCCACGAATGGACCTTCTGTCTCCTGGATTTCCCTATTGTGGACATTTCTTTCTTTCTTTTCTTTTTTAAAAATCATTTTATTGGGGGCTCGTACAACTCTTATCATAGTCCATACATACATCCATTGTGTCAAGCACATTTGTACATTTATTGCCATCATCATTCTCAAAACATTTGCTTTCTACTTGAGCCCTTGGTATCAGCTCCTCACTTTTCCCTTTCCTCCCCAAAACCCCCTCCCTCATGAACCCTTGATAATTTAGGAATTATTATTATTTTGTTATATCTTGCCCTGTCCGACGTCTCCCTTCACCCACTTTTCGGTTGTCCGTCCCCCAGAGAGGAGGTCACATATAGTTCCTTGTAATCGGTTCTCTCTTTCCTACCCACTCTCCCTCTATCCTTCCTGTATCGCCACTCACATCACTGGTCCTGATGGGATCATCCGCCCTGGATTCCCTGTATTTCCAGTTTCTATCTGTACTAGTGTATATCATCTGGTCTAGCCAGACTTGCATGGTAGAATCCGTGTCATGATAGTGGGAGCAGGGAGGAAACATTTAGGAACTAGAGGAAAGTTGTGTTTTTCATCGTTGTTACATCGCACCCTGATTGGCTCATCTCCTCCCCGAGACCCTATGCGATCACGAGGTGTCGAAGGGATCAGGTGTAAGGCATCATCAGAACAAAAAATCTTACCATAGTGAATGACGGGGGGAGTGCGGAGTGGAGACCCAAAGCCCATTAGTGGACATTTCTCATCAATGGAATCATATACTATGCACTCTCTTATTTCTGATTTCTTTCACTTTGTGATATTTTTTAGAGTTGTGTTTTTTTTTCACTTGCCAGTTTCACTGGATTTATTTTTCTTTGTTGGCTTAGCATCAATGTACACTGAATCTAAGGACATGAATCTTTTTTCAATTGCTTGAAAAGTCTCCATAATTGGTTTTCTCCTTTTGGATATCGTCTCTCCATCTTTCCCTCTGGTTTTCCCCCAGAAGTCCTATCAGCATAAAATTCACAAACCAGACAACTCAATAATTCAGTCCCATCAGGAAGAGTTGTACAACCCTCATCACCACACTCAGTGTTGGACGGAGAGTTTTAGGTCAGAGACTCTGAAGGATGTAACCTAGGCCACGTTCTCACTCTGGGCTCCGGGAACTTGTTGGCAACCCCCATCAAAACATCACAGGAAGGCAGGGGTGAGAAAAACACACAGGATGTTCTTGAAGAAAGAAGCTGGAAGCTGGATTGTCAAAGGCGGGAAACTAACCATACAGCCTATCACCGATGAAGGAACTGAGGTGTAGAGCAGTGAAAAAGATTGGCTTGTGGCCATGGGGCAGGGAAGTAGCCAAGTAGGTCCCTATTCTGTCTGGATCCAGTCTGCGACCCCCTCAGACCTGGCATGGCAGCAAGGAACAAGTGAGACCCCTGAAGCATCTTTCCTGGGTTGCTCTGGGACTTGGGGGTGGTAGCCTTCGTGCCATCTTGACTCTGGGCTTGCCCCTTGTGTCCTGGGGCAATGAGCTCCACTGGTCCCTTGGAGCACCTGGTGAAGTTGGGACACCGGAACTTGGAATGAATGGGAGGCTCAGGTAGATCCATGACCAGATCAGCCCCTGGGTTTCTTAGTGCGAATTCTAACTCATGTCTCTTCTCTCTCTCTGTTTTCAGATCGGGAAGATCAGTCCATCCTGTGCACGTAAGTGGAACTGCTTTTTACTCTGCGTTCTGCATTTGGATACACCTTGCTGAAGAAAAGGGCTGTGGGGCAAGGGGGCTTGTTCTGTTTGTCCGTGTGTCCCAAGAACCTTCCCTGGGCCCAGCGCGGAGCAGAAGCTCACTGAACAAACATTCTTGCACTAAAATCTAAAACAACAATATCTGGTGGAATTTTGTTCTGTCTTTGAAATTATACACACACACACACACACACTCACATGAATTGAGGTGCTCTGGTAGCACTGTGGGATAAGCATTGGTCTGCGAACCACAAATTGAGCAGCTTCAAATCCAGCCATCAGACCTTGGGAGAAAGATGTGACAGTCTACTTCTGTAAAGATCCCCCCAAACAAACAAACAAAACTCACTGCCATTGAGTCAGTTCTGAATCATAGCGACCGCAGGACAGGGAGAACTGCCCCTGTGGGGTTTTGAGACTGTAACTCTCTACAGGAGTAGAAAGCCTCATCTTACGGGAGTAGAAAGCCTCTTCTTTCTCCTGCAGAGCAGCTGGTGGCTTTGAGCTGTGACCTTGCAGGTAGCAGCCCAATGTGTAACCCAGTCCACCACCACATCCCGGGAACTACTGAGAAGCAATTCTGCGCTGTCCTAGACAGTTGCTATGGGTTGGGATTGACTAACGCAGGGGCACTAGAATGGGAAGCAATTATGGAATGCAGGCTGTGTACACACCGAACCATGTCAAACTACGTATCACATCTCTTGGATGAGGACGCGAGGCTTGTTCTGACGCGAGGCTTGTTCTAACAGTTCACAATGAGTGCGCTGCTGCGTTTGGACCCTAACTGGTCACTGTTTCTTTGAAGGCCTTCGTTCAGAGCAGAGATATTAACTCAATGCAGAATTATTCAAGGAACCTTTACTGTTCAGGAAAAAATGCTCTGGATCTTGGAAGTGGCCCCTATTCCCCAGGTCTGACCATGTTTCTATCATTCCTTTGATTTTTTTTTTCCTTTTTGTTGTGAGTTGGGTGAAAGTTGACTGAGCAAGTCAGTTTCCAGTTTAACGAGTCATGTATATTCGGTTTCCTCTCGTTGATGGCAGTTCCAGTTCCAGGCTTGAAAAGTGCCTTGGGGTTCCACCCATCTCTTTCTGACCTGTAAGCCGGGTCTTCTCCATATTTTGTTTCACCTTCTAGAGTAGGGGTGACCGGGCACCATCTAGTTCTTCTGGTCTCAGGGTCACGGAGGCTGAGGCTCACTTGGTCTGTGAGTCCTTCAGACGAATTGTTTCCACACATGTTTGGCTTTCTTCACTCCTCGTGGTTCTGGACGGGGAGATACTAATGATTGTGCCCTCGATGGGAATTCACAAGCCTGTCAGAGCCAGTCACTACTCACCAAGTAGGAGGTAGAACAATTTCTTAGTGGGTCTGAGCCCTCACACCCAGCCACTCATTCCCTCAAGGTTGTAGCTAAGAAGTTTCCACAACTTCCTCCCCTGTATGTGTGTTTTATCGTATTCGTGAACGTATTTGTGGCATATATAAACAGAGAGAGACTGCCAAATCGTATACATATTCAGAGGTAGAGGCCTATTCTCCTTCCCACACTGGTCCAGTTTCTTCTGTGTGTGTCTGTTCATCCGCATCCAGGTACTTCCTCTAATTATTCTCCCAGGATTGTGTATAGAACAGTGTTCACCTCTGTTGCCTTCAATGTTTATACACCTTCCACTGCCTTCCTCTGATTGTTTTTTTTTTTTGCTGACCAATTTCTTACTGTATGTTGCCTTTCCCTTTCCCCAAGTTCACATTCATCTCTCAAGTTAGTGGCCTACCATTCCTTTCCCTCCTGGCCATTGGTTGTCATGAAAAATATTTGAGGGTTGTTTTTTTTCAACATAGATTTCTGCCTCTGATAAGGTAGCACAGGCTGCAGCTTACATGGGCTTTAAAGGGTCTTTAAAAATGGAAGAGGGAAGGGGAAGGGAGTGAGAGGATTGGACTGCAGAGGAGGCCAGTGTGATGCAGTGTGGAGAGGGCTTTTCCCAGTGATTCTGGCATGGGAGTTAGAGGAGGGGGAGACAGAGGAGGGGGGCCATAGGCCAAGGAGTGCAGTTCACGTCTAGAAGCTAGAAAAAGGCAAGGAAACAGCCTCTCTCCTAGAGCATGTTACCCCGTCAACACTTGTTTTAAACCAGCAAGACCCACTTCCCACTTTCAATCTCTAGATATGTAAGATTATCAGTGTTCAAGCCACCGAATTTGTGGTCATTTGATAAAACACCAATAGGAAACGAACCTGCCTGCCTTCCACCGTACCTAGTGACCCCGGGTACAATGGAACAAAGCGCTGTCCAATCGCACACCGTCCTCACAGTCTCGGCTGTGTTTGTCACGGGCCCTGTATCGATCCTCTCTTTGCAGGCGTTCTTCTTTCGGGCCCTCCTGATAACGTCCAAAGTACGTGAGATGGAGTCTCCTCATCCTCACGTCTAAGGGCCTCGCCAGCCATACGTTGTCCATGACAGAATTGTTTGGGGCACTTCCCGACGTTACCCTGGGCCACGTCCTCCCCTCTCGGCTCTCTCCCATCCTGACCATCATCACTCGTTAGCCAGCACAGGGAACGGGCCAGGCCCCTTCTAAGTACCAGACAGGAGCTGCCCAGGGGAAGGACAGCCATTAGAAGACTCACACACTCATGTTTTGTACTGCGTGAATTTGGGGCTCTTTGCATGCGCTGCCTTTTTGGAAATGGAAAGATATATCATCCAGGTGAGTGTATAATTGCCGGCCATGATAAGTACACAGAGGGAAGCGTATGAGGATCTGGGAGAGAATGTGAACGGGACAAATGTTGTCTCTGCAGACATGATACCTCAGTGGAAATGTCAGACGAACATGAGGGCCAGCCAGGATGTGCCAAAGCCAAGGCTGGGTGGAGCAGGGAGATCCCTTTCCCTCGTCTGAGAAGAGCCCTCCCAGGACATGTGGGGGCATGGATGCCAACTGAAGGGCCATTTGAAGCCAACTATCTAACATTAGTGTGTGAAGGGGGCCGGGGGAATGTCACAGGGTGGGGGGCAGGCAGTGGTGCACGGGGGACAGAGGGCCCCTTGAGGGGGGCAGCCGTGATGGCGCTGCAGCCTGCAGAATAAAAGATGAAAATAGGCCCCCAGCCCCGTTCCTGTTGAGTTGACCAACTCGTGTCGAGCCTGCAGGCCAGAGGAGAACTGAGCACGACTCCTTAGGGTTTCCGAGACTATACCGCTTTACAGCCCCAGACAGCCTCCCCTTTCTCCCACAGAGTAGCTGGTGGATTTGAACTGCCAGCGTTGCAGTTCACGGCCCAGGGCTTAACCCACTGCGCCACTGGGACTCCCTCTTGGGAGAATATGTGTTCCGTATTGCCAGGCTTACCTTCAATAGAGGGCGGAAATCTAGATTTTTATTCATGTTTTAGGTGAAATCTCCCACAGCTCAGTTGTATTCAACACACAGACCCTACTTTGTGGGTTGGCTTGGGCAGTGGGCCAGGAGTTTTTCCAGCTGGTTCCCGGAATCTGGCCTTGGAAGGCTCCCCAGAAATGATGAAGCACGTGGCTCCTGTCCTATATACGGTTGTCATTTGTAGGAGTGTCAAACCTGGATTCAAGGTCTCTCGGTGATACCATGATGCTCTTTCTGGCCTGTTATTCTAAGTCTTGCTGTGAAGGAGGGGGGAGAGGAGTGGGCCACAGCTGAACCGGCGACTTGGATCCGTAGTGCACAGCCATGGCCATTACAAATAGAGGTTGGCAGTGGGGTTTCATAAGTACATGCATTACAACAACCACAAAACGAGAGAGGCTATGAATTTTGCCCAGAGGCCCATGGTGAGCTTTCAGTGAGGAGAAGGCCCGGAACCAAGTTCATGGCCTGTTGAGGACCCAGTAGCATCATGAAGAGGATTGGGGTACAAACTGTACCCCCTGACACTGCCAGTGGGGCTGACTGACCCGTCCCGCAGGCCATTAAACAACGTGGATACCTGAAAGAGGGACTGGGAATGAAGAGGGGCAAGAGACGCGAGAAATGGAGGCAAGACAGGAGTCTGATCAAGCCTCGATTTATTGGGCAGAAGGCAGGGCCTTAAATACCCTATGGTGGGTGGGTAACATTACATCATATGCTAACAAAGTGTAACGAATAGTATCCAATAATCATGTAGCTACAATATGGAAGAAATGGCAGGTATCAGTCCTCAAACAGGTCCATATGTAAATGAGGTGCACTTGGACGGTCCACATGTAAATGAGGTGCACTTGGATGCCTGGCGGAGGTGTCCAATGAGCATGGCAGCTGTCTGCCACCGAGCACCAATCATCACAAAGGCCAGACTCAGGCAGGACAATAGGCCAGGGAACATCCGGGAATGGGAAGCTTAAAGACAGCGGACGGCCCAGGCCATGGGCTGAGGGATGTGCAGACTCCCACATGTGCAGACTCCCATAGCTGACAACAAACTTAGCCCCAGGCTGGTGACAAGCGGGCCAGTGTTGTTGTGAGAGGAGCGGCTGAGTCACTCGGGCTGTGTCAGCTGTCACCCAGTGTGGTCCCTTCTCACCATCCCCTCCAACCTGTGGGGCCAGTCAGGGTGTTGGGGCGTTGTCAGCCCTGGCAAGTGTGGAGCAACAGTCCCCAGCAGACTCGGGTGCAAGTGCGGACGGACATTGTAGCAGGAGGAGTAACCAGCGTCTCGCCGGTGTGGTACATTGGTTCAGAGCAAACACTAGCAGCATTGCCCACACTGCTCCGCGGCTCAGCACTTCTGAATGACAAGAAGGAGCCGTGGATGAATTTGGGAGGAGAAACATAAATCCCAGGACGAAGGCCCTGAGGCGGGAACCACCTGGCCCTTTGAGGAGCAGCGAACAGGTCCATTTGATCCGTACCTCGGGAACAGCGGGGCAATGGAAGGATGAGGTTCAGGAAGTGCTCTTGTGGACAGGAAGTGGCCAAGCAGACAGGAAGC